AATAAGGATTTCTTTAAATACATTAAGAGGAAACAAAATGTTAGGATAGGGACAGAACCCTTGAGGGATAATAAAGAAGGCTAGTATCTGATGATTACGAGATGGCTGGGTTATTAAATTTTACTTATTCTTCGGTTTTTACTAATGAGGATTTAAGTAGTATTCCACATCTTGATCAGTTTATAAATGGATGAGATCAAACAAGATGACTGCAATAATTCTGAGTTGGTTAAGAAAAAATTGGGAAGTTTAAAAAATGATAAGGCTCCTGGGCCAGATAAAGTTTTCCCATGGGTTTTGAAGGAGGTCAAAGTTCGGATATGTGAGCCACTTGCTACTATTTTTTTGTCAGTCCTTGAATAGTGGGCAGGTATCTAAGGATTGGATGTTAGCTAATGTAATTTCTCTTTTCAAGGGAGGTGATAAAAAGTGTCCCAGTAATTATAGACCCATTAGTCTTACATTAATTGTAGAAAAAAATTTTTTAAGTCTGTTAAAAAATGCTTTGCAAAGTAATTTAACAAAGTTTAGAATTTTATTGGATAGTTAACATGGTTTCACTTAGGAAAAATCTTGTCTTAAAAATCTTTGAAAAAAGTTACTGCTCATGTAGACGAGGGTAAGGGTGCAGATTTCGTGTTTCCGGATTTTCAGAAAGCATTTGACAAGGTGCCACATAAAAGGCATGTAAAAAAAAATTAGCTCTATGGGTATGGGGATAAGTTAGCAAATTGGATAGAAGAGTGGCTGCAAGAAAGCAGAGGGTTGTTACAAATGGAGTTCAGTCAAACTGGATTAATGTCACAAATGGGGATAGTCTTAGGACCTTAGAGATAGTCAATAAATTACTAAATTTGCAGAGGATATGAAGGTTTTGGGTGTTGCTAGCTGTGAAGAGGATGTTGTTGATTTACAAAAGTATTTAGATCATTTACTGAGTTGGACAAATAAATGGCATATAGGTTTTAATTACAATATATGCAAGATAATGCATGTGGGTTATAATTTGAATTACAAGTATAATTTGGACGGGAAAAAACCTTAATAGTATTATAAAGGAAAGAGATCTTGGAGTAATAGTTGATCAGTCTCTAAAGCCATCAAAGTAGCATGCTGTTGCTAGTGCAAATAGGATTTTAGGTTGTATCTATAAAAATAATGAATACAAGTGTAAAGAGGTTATACTTTCATTGTAAGGGTCACTGGTCAGGCCACATTTGGAATACTGTGTTCAGTCTTGGGCTCCTTACCTTATGAAAGGACTGATTTGTTGGAAAGGGTTCAGAGAAGAATTACTAAAATGGTGTCTGGGATGGAGGGATTGTTATACAACGAGAGGCTGAAATCTCCCAAATTGTTTTCTCTTGAAAAAAGAAGACTTGAGAGGGTCTGATTGAGGTGTTTAAGATTGTAAAGGGAATTAATTGTGTTGATGTATCATCTTTTTTATATTTAACAATGAGAATAGTAGGGCTAGGGCACACAAATATAAATTTTGGCAAGGTAGGAGTCATCTTCAGCTAAGACAATTTTGTTTTCCTAACAGGGTGGTTGGCCTTTGGAATTGGTTGTAGAGGCAGTAAATTTAAGTGAGTTTAAGAAACAGCTTGAAAAGTATATGAATGAAATGAGCTGGGTTTAAAATGTTTTTATTTTATTTTTTAATCATTTTTTAATTTAGTTTTGTGGATGGAACAGCCGAGATGGGCCAATTGGTCCCATGTTGTCACAAAAATATTGTTATGTTATGTTAAAAGAAGAGAAAAAAAAAGGTGGCTGCAAGTAAATGACAAGATTGGCCCACAAAGTGTATAAGGGATAACGTTAATCCTTTTGAGACGGGTCACAGTTGAAAAGCAATGTCATCTCGTTTGTTGACTTGCATTCACAATTTTATTTAACTACTATTTCATAAATTTATGTCAAAAAGTTTGGTATCAAGCTGTATATTATTATTCAAGTTTTATTACCATATATTACTCAATTTCTCAATTGAAAAGCAAATATTAAAAAAACAGATAAACATCGATTTTTGTGTGTCACGTGGTATGTTGAATGCAGCACTGGTTCAAATTAGTAACAAATTCGAACAAATTAGAAACTAAAATTACTGATATTGACAAGCTAGAATATAAAATAAGAGCCTCTTATCTTTTCAATTTGCTGAGATATTGCTCATATAATAAATCAAACACAGTGGCACCCTGCCCATCTCTTTCCATTTTGGAAATGCTCCCTTATATACACTTACTTCTATATATGGCATGAATAACCAATCAAACCTCAGAATGTCTCTCTAGTGGCTTTCTCAGCCATTTTAATGGACTTGGTACCATTTCCTTCTTTGAACCAATATTTCAATGAGGTAGGGTGTGTCTTTAGTCAGCTCGAAATTTCATATTTTTTTTAGACTAAAAATACATTTTTGTTACTAAGGTTGATAAATTATAGTGGAATTCTGTGGTATTAATGTAGTAATTTATGACTTTTTAGTTATTCAAATGTATATATATAAAACCTAAAAAAATATTTTGTTTCATATCCTTAACGTGCAAAATTTTTAAAGCCTTAGCAACCTATGTCAAGCAGCCACTAAGTACAAAGGTCATAACTAGAAGAGATAATTTTTTGCTTTACTTCTTTATTTACTGTTCTATGTTTTAGGAAAAATATGTTTAAGAACTTATTTCAAAATAGCAATAATCTATATACATATATAATGTATAATAATTGAAACATGACTATTTTACAAAATACTAGTCTACTAAAACACAGCCAAGACAAGTTACTTTGCACAGACCGAAAGTCAGTTTTATGTTATTTGATCCGATAACATGAGTGCATGTGAGCCGCGTCATTAACTTCTGTACTGTTAGTCAGGCACAGCTGAAAGGTCAATATAATAAAAACATAAATGTACAATGTTGTGAGATTTAAGCTAATTAGTCTATACATTTAAGTTTTAATGTTATAATATGTGTTCATTCTAGAATGAAAGAGGTGTAATTTATATTTATATCCTAATTTTTTATGGTGGTAGCAAGATCGGTCAAATCAACCGAACCCATACAGAGATTAATTACTGAAAGTAACAGATAAAAAATAAAGTTTTTCCTTAAGAAACAATTCATAGCTATCTTGACATTATAAAGATTATGCATGTGAAATTTCAAAATGTTCTGATGCATAAAAGTATTTTTAATCTTAACATGTGAAAAGAAAAATAGACATGAGAAAAACATTTCTTTATAAACCTTAAGACTTAATGAAAAAAATTGATATTTTGCATATGAAAGCATTGTAATGTTTATTGATAATTTGCCAAATTTCATTAACGTTCAGTTACTAATTTAAAAGTTACAGCATGAAAACTATAACAAGCACAAAATGGTTACGAGGTCGGTCCCAGGGACCGAGCCTGTGCTGAAAGAATTAAAGAAAAGCATTAGAAATTAAATAACTTTATATTGACATGAAAGAACTTTTGGAGAAAAAAAATTAATTTCTATCCTAACAGCTCTAAAGCAACTCAGCAGCTCTTTGAACTGGTTTAGTAACTTATCAGATCAGCTAGATGATTAGTGGAACTTAATTACTGGTTGATCATCAAGCTTAATTCTCACATGAAACTTGATTAATCTAAGATAGTAATAAATGGAAACACTAATTCTGATCAGCTGGTTATTTTCATGAATTGTGACACAAATCAATTAAGCTAAACAACAATTAATTAATCATAAACAATATTGAAAAACCATAACAATACTTCAATTACTTGGATAGTTGGAATAATTAAAAATGGTAATAATCAGAAAGACTAGTTTTTATGATTGTTTTCATGACATCAACTGATTTAATCACAATATTGATTATCAAATACTTCACATTATACTAACTGATGTAATCAATGTCCATAAGTAACTGATTAATCGAGTTAATCGCTCAGCTCTTTTACTAACATCATTACTCCAATTCGCAGTATAAAAGCAATATATTTTTAGTTTCTGCTACTAAGCTATTTTCTCCTACATTCTGAACTTTAGCAACCAGTTAACAAGTTCTACTCCTTGTTTTCCAGTCCACCCACTGTTCTTGACAAGTGTGTTGAAATACAAATAAAGCATACGGAATCCAAAAAACAAAACACAGTCTAAAAGCTAAAATGAATTATATGCCACTACTTTTATATACGTCTCAGGGGAGGGTGGTGTATCTCAGACACTGGAGGTTGTTCATGCAACCTTTCAACATAATACATTTGAATATATTTAATTAACAAACCTCTTTCTACAAAAGGTTCAAATCTATTTCTTAGTTTGAAATAATTTGAATTATAAAAAAGGTTTAGAGAACTAGACTGATTTTTTAGGAAGCAATACAGAAATACCTTGACTACTGTTTTCAAAACATCAGATCTTTGATAAATGTGCCTAAAGATGGTCTTTTATAGAAGAATAAAAAGCTTTGTAATAATATTGAATGACTAATAAGTATAAATTGTGATAGCCTTTATTCAGGATCATTCTAAGTATAAATTGTGATAATCTTGATTAGGATCATTCTCTGTAAAAGTTATTTTTTGTTAGTAATAAAAATTATGGAAAAGTCTACCTGAGTGCTTGATTCTTATTTTTAAATGAATTTAGACTTTTGTTCAATTACTATACAGATGAAGAGCTAGAATTATCATGGCTTCTACTTGCTGTTTTAGAATAAAGCTTAAAGGATTAACTGATGGAATGATGTCATTTTGCTTGTTCTAACATTTTACATCACTTACCACTAATACATTCTTTAAATTTAAAAACTGAAATTTATCAAACTACTAAAACTAAAAGTACTAATAGTAATACTATGTAGTATTACTAAACTATGATAACCTTTATCAACATCCTTGCTATTGGTTAGATTAGGTATAAAACATACCTAGTATGAATTGTCAATTTTAATCGCATGTAAGTATACAATTTATAATACATGTATATATAACCTATATTTACCTGTATGTGTACGAAGGTGATTTTTCAGGTGAGAACTTTTACCATATGTTTTTGTACACCCCACAAAGGAGCAAACAAACAGTGTCTTCTTTGAGGAGCTGGTACCATTTTGAATTTCTGAGCTTCTGTCAACTTTTTGTTTTACTCGTTTAGAAGATATCTTCATACAGTTTTCTTCCATTCCTCTACTTTGCACAGGGAGTAAAATATCTGAAGGTGAAACAGATGAATCAACATTTTCATCCATCACAGTGAAGTATCGTTTATTAGTTTTAGACATGCAATGATCACTTAAAGTCTTTGCTAGACTTTTAGTTTTACTACAAGACTTCATTCTTTCTTCTACCCTTTTACCACAATAGGAATTTTTTTTCTTCAAATGTTCATCAGGTCGTGTTACTGAGCCCTCTGTGACTGAAGATATTATAGGTGTTACATCAAGGGCTGGACTTTTTCGATTCACAACGGAATTTGAGTTTTTCTTAAGCTGAGTTAAATCAGTTAAAATCTGAGCAATCATGTTAAAAGGTTCATTAAAATCTTCTTTGGATAAAGCGTAAGAATGTGATTTATACTCACTGTTAGTATTCTGTAAATATATTTCATTGTTTGTTTCCATGCTGGCTGTAGCCTGCTGGCTTCCCTTGTCTTTTTCCCGCGTTGCCCTAACACAATATTGTTCTACCTCTGGAGACCATCTGGCATCAGAATCACAACGTGGCTTTGAGTTCGACATTGCCACTAAACCTTCAGCAGCTAAACTTATTAGTTTATCAGAACACAAAGAATTGTTGAACTCCATCACTGTGACGATAATTTTCACAGCCTTTCAATTTCATATGTCATATCCACTTTTAAAATAAATTTTACTAATGGTGGCTAGGCGTAATACTAATAATACGCACATTTAGTAAACCTAACGGTGCAAAAGCCTTCCCTTATACTGAAAGTTAACTTAGGTAAGTGCTACCTAATATTTACATCTATAATTACCAATAAAAATTACAAGTTGTAATTTGTTAAGGGCTATGATGTTCTGCAAAAACCTGTGCGACAATGTAACCTTACTCTCATTACTTGCTACATTTACTGGATAAATTCATAGAACCCTCAAACACTACGAGTACGGCTACTCTCTGTATATTGTACTACACATTGCAGCAAGGACTAAGATTTCTTCAACCCGAGGCTTTAAAACTGGGCGTGGCAACAAAACCTATCACGGTGAGCGAGACTAGAAATGGGGCACCACGTGCGAGGTAACTATGATTGGCCAAGCAAAGAAAGCAGCTGGTAACCTTGTCCATGAACAAAGAAAAAGAAAATAGTGATTGTTGTTAGCATTTTTTTTTATCCATTTATATTTTTGGGAAGGATAAGAAGCTTAATATATATTATAATTATAAGTATATAATTTTAGAAAACTGGTGTTTGCATCTTGATATAATTTTTATAATGATTTGAAAGAAAGCCAATTTATTACTAACATGATTTGGCTATATATTTTGTAGGTTTATAGTAATATTACATGTATGTATGTTTGTAATCAGGCACAAAGCTACACGATGGGCTATCTGTTCTCTGCCCACCTCGGGTATCGAAACCCGGTTTCTAGCGTTGTAAGTCCACAGACATACCTCTGTGCCACTAACATTGCAAGCAATCGAGATAAAATCACAGTTAAATTATATATATATAATAATGCATGTAAATAAATAAATGATTAACTTTAAGATTTAATACAGAGAAGTTGACTTCGGGCGTGTGCCTGTTTTATTAACGTTTTTAATCATTTACTATTCTTGGCACAATAAATTTAATATTATATTAATAACGATCTACAACAAAAGGGGAAATTTCATACAGATAATCCTTGCTTGTTTAAACAAAGTACAAATTGTGCGGTAAGAACATGATACGAAAATTTAAAAAGCATTGTCTTCCATCTTAATTATTAATACAATGAGCATGCTAAATCGTATTTTACTAAGCTTAAAATTCTAATCTTAATTTTCTTGTAATGAACTCGACGTTACAATCAAATTGAATATACATAAATTTACTTAGTTCGTTATATATTGTTAAACAACCAGAAATAATTATTTAAGTGCATTATAACTCACACATATTAGAGCGGGTAACTTGTCACACAAATGGATGGATGACGGGTAATTTTTTCAAGGCCAGTACCCTACCTTTATGAATTTGTTTTCACAAGATAAGGTTTTCGTCAATTTGAATTGATCGATTGTCTTTGTTTTTTGAATTTCGCGCAAAGCTACACGAGG